CACCTTCAGGCTTTAAATCCCCATAAATCTGATCTGGAACAACCAGATTAAAACGATTAAAACTGAGACTAGATCTTCGTTTTCATCAGATCATCAGCTGAGCGTCTGTGGCGTGAGCGTGGTTTCTGTATTGACATAAACTTGGCGTGAACCTGAAACCTCGGTGCGGTTCCCGCCTGGCACGCGGCCCGCTGGCACCTCTTCACTCTGCAGGAATCTGGGAGATTATCCTGGAGGGCTGAGCAAACATGTCGGAGGATTTGCTCACAAACCGCAAACCTTGTTGTGCAGTTTGCTCTCCTGCTGCAAGCGCCGCCTCTCACAGCTCAATCCGCTGCAGGGGGAGCGGCGGGGGGGGGGTTCCCGGGGTTAAAGGGGACGGAGGATAAGGAGGTGGGGGTCCTGGCTTCATGTCATCAAAGTTTATTTGGCTGTTGACCTTTCCACGCCGCCATTCAGGGAGGCTTTGGGGCCTGAATGGTTGAACAATACGACTTGATCTTCAAAGCTGGGAGGGAAATGAAGACTCTCTAAGCAGAGATAAGGAGGAGCATCTTTAAAGTTTCTCCTTTCAAAGCCTTCTGCTCTAAAGTCTGCAGATAAAACAATTAGAAACATTTAGAAACAACCAAGAACTGACGCATTTTCTGATTTCTAACCTGGAAAATTATTGTTTGGATTTTTTAAGCTGAAGTTCATCGTTTTTCTTTCATGTTTTCTGCAGCTGCAACAAATGAAAGCTGGTTTGAAAGTATTTATTTCTACCTTAAAGTAGTTTTTCCTGCATTACTCATGATCTCAAACAGAAACATTCTCCAAACTGTTCCAAAAAAAGTAAAAAAAGACTCTGTTTCCAAGTTTGAAGACGTTTCTCTTCCCATCCAGGAAGATTCTTAAATTCAAAATGTCAGAAATAACCAACGGATCAGACTTTAAACCTTTAAAGGTTCTTTACCATTACAGAGATAAAAAGATAAAGTTTTAGGAAGTGTTCACCAGTATTCACCCTAGTTACATAAATAGAGATCAATGGATTTCACTCGGTCGGCATTTTATTTTATCTTTGCAAAGGGAGAACAGTTCATCATACGGTCCTTATTGCGCGGTAATCAGCCCAGTTCTGATCTGGGCAGCGTTCGTTCCCAGTTACTTACAATAATGGTTCTAAGTAAGGGGGGAAAAAGACCTCACCTATTTAGCCAGGCCAACTATTCCCTCTAACGACCCCCCTTTCAGAGACATAGACAGGTATGGGGCATTGCAGGCCAACTATTCCCTCTAACACCCCCCCTTTCAGAGACATAGACAGGTATGGGGCATTGCAGGCTAACAAAGAAGCCAAACGACCCCCATTCCAAAGGGGGGGACCCGTTCATC